ACTCTATCATCCAGGCCAAAAGTATTTTAAAAGATTAAAAGGTCCAGTTGCCATGATTTAACCTTTTTAGATTCTTAGATAGGTCTGCACAGTGCTGCAGGATGTTTTGAATACTACAGAAAGCTTCTGCAGCATCACGCAGAGCTTGTTAAGGCAGCAAAATCAAGTTTGTCTCTGGGCTGTGAGGCAGTGACTTGAATGTGGCTGCCATTTTGCCTCCATCCACAAACAGGCGGGAGCAAAATGTCAACCACCAGACAAGGTGCTTCGTTTTGCTGTCTGAGAGGGGCTTCTGTAACATGTTGAGGCAGCAAAATGAAGCAGTTTGTCGCCAGGCCATGAGGTGGTGGCCCAAATGTGGCTGCCATTTTGTGGGTGAGACAAAATGGTGGTGGTTTGGGGAACTGTATCATGTGGCTGCCCAAAGAATGAAGCCATTCAAGTCCTCTGGAGGGCCTCTAAGCTCTTCAAAAGGTAAATGAAGAGAAGGATGTTTTGCTATGTGCAGTAGTTCTCCCTCCAGTCCGTCTGCCTAGGGGGCGTTGTTCTCGCTCCTGATTGGCTACCTGTTTGAAAGCCGGTATATATAAAGAGCTGTAAAACAGGGCTCAGCTGTTGCCAGTTAGCTGAGATGCTCTTGTTGTGAATTGCTGCGTTTGGCAACCTGTTAAGCATTAAAGCATTTGAAAGACCTGGCTTGCCTCAGTCTGTCCACCCGGCTTTCTCCTAGCCAGAACATGTTTGGCATGGTGGGGTGGAAATCAGGCCTAAGGCCCAGGAGGAGCTCATAGGAGTGGGAAAAGGCCTGTTCGAAAGACATTCCAAGACATGGAAAGTGGAGCATGGGGTCTCAGGGGTAGGGGAGGACTTGGGAGGGCCAGGGCAGACAGCCAGGCCTGGGCCTTTATTAGACCCTCAAAGTCCTCCCCCACCTGGGATGCACCCCCACACTCCACTTAACGACCTGGCTGTTTGTTTTACATTTCATTGGAGAGAGCAAGGATGGGAGGATTGTTATGTTTCATGTAACAATTGCTGCGATATGCAACCATAATGGGCAGGCTTCATCATGTTCATATCTCGAGGACTATTTGTAATGAAGGAACTGGCTGGCAGCTGGAGATCCTACAGTGACTAATGTAGACTGGATAGTTTTCAACAGTAGCTATAGAAAATGAAATATTGGGTTGTATCCAATATCTGTGTTTTCTCAATCTTCTCTGAAATCTTACTTTTGCTTTTGAAACTATTCAACTTGGGCTCTGTTGTTTAATGCAGCTACACTGTATTTCTTCTTCCAACAGCCTGCTGTATTGGGCTGTCAGGAATCATTACTCACAGAGTGGCACATTAAAACTTAGAATTATTTCATGATGCAATGCTGCCATACTAACCAGATAAATGTTCCACTTTCGCCCAAGAATTCAGACAATGCGATTTTTCTACTGTTCCTCAAAACTTATCCTAGCGTTCTTATTTGCCTTCTCTTTTGTGGATGGCTTATTTTTTCTTTTTTCTGGCAGTCTGAAATCTCAGTCTGAAATAAAGTTTCCCTCATGGGTTTTACTCTTGGCTTAAGGAAAATACTAAAATCATTATGTTTCACTTAGCCACTACTTTGCTTAATGATTGAGTTGCTGATCCCAATTATGGTTGCTAAACAAGGACTACTTGTATTATCAAAGAAAGGAGAATAATGGTATATGAAACTGCCTACTTGAATGAACACCAAATAGTCAATGTACTCGACAACCTTAACAGCTGTAATAATAATAAATAATAAATAATAATAATATGGATACTGGATTGCTTTGACATATAATTTGGAATCAATTTATAAATGTTTAGTAGTAGTAGAATAGTTTAGTATAGTAGTAGTATTGTTTAAGGCAGTAATAACAGTTATAGGACTGTGAGTTGGGGATATATTTCTGTAGAATGTGAATTTTGACCTTCAGATGACCTTCTTTTATGTCTTATGGGAAGGGCCAATCATCTCCAAGCCTTATTCCCGAGTCAACCCTGTTTTCTTAATTGTTCTTGCCTTCTGACAGCTCTGCGCATGCGCACACTGGGAACAGGCTCCCACTGTTCTTCTGCCTCGCTGATGTCAGACTCCAGAGGCAGCATATAACTACCAAATGGCCTTGTCCCCCTCTTTGCCTCTGACACAGAGCCCTCATTCGAGCCTTCCCCAGACTCCAGAACTGGGCCATGTTCCTCCCCAACCTCCTCACTGTCTGACTCTGTTGCCAGCTCCGCAGGCCGCTGGTGGACCACAACAATATATTGTAAACCCAGTATTACCTAATTCTTTAGTAACTCAAGACCCATTGATTACATATCACAGATTCAGAAGATATGGAATTCTGGCAGTTGAAGCCCACCTATCTTAAAGTTGCCAAAGTTGAAAAACATGGTGTCAGAGATTTCTATTCTCAGATTACTTCCTTCTGGTTTCCTTTCGAGGCACATGCAGAGCATATGCTCTTTGACACTTATCCTGATATGTTGTTAGCTAATTGCTAGACTTTGCCTATTCCTACAATGTATTTATACGCTTGTATTTTCTTTTTGTTATAAAACTTCACAAATCTGCCTTGGTCTGATCCTTGTTGTCAGGAACACTTACATGCACAAACATAATGCTTCAACCTCCCATAGTTTCATCATAAAGCAGCCATGGCAATTTTACCACGTGAACACTCTGATGCACATCATCAACCATTCAGTTGCTATTAAAGATATATAACCTCTAGGTGTGCATTTGTGACCAGTCTGGTTGATTACTTATTGGCTGCTTAAAGCCTGCATTCCCCTTCTCTCCTGTTCAGTCTTCTAAGGACATTCTGCTTAAGGCAATGGGGGAGTTAAGTTCTTTAAATTAAAATTTCTCCCCATCCATGTTTGGATGCCATAATCAATCTGAATGGCAGCTAACTGATGGTAGCAATGGCGGTTCTACATAGAGAGATTGAGACTCATATTTGTTAGCTACTTTTGAATGCATGTTTCACATTGCTCCAGAATAGTGGGTTTTTGTTTTTGTTTTTTTTGGAATAGTGCTAAATTCCTGTCCAAATACAGTCTACCTCTCAGGTGATATTAAATGATAACAAAGCTCCCTTTCAGCATATTCACTTGAAACACTAGAACAAATTTTGACAGATGGCTAAATCCTCTGATCTTGCCATCTGTCAGAACTCACCTCCTGCTCAGGCCCATCCCATGCTAAAGAAAAGGAAGAGGATGTTTTTCTCCAGTTAAGGATATATGAGGGACAGGAGAGAAACAAAGCCAGAAGAACCCATCAATCCGATCCTTGATATATCCTGCACACTGTAAATAGAGATCACACCATTTGTTGACATCAAGCATGTGACAGGTTAAAGATTTGCCCTAAGAGTAGAAAATGTTACACAGGCATAGTTTTCTCCTGGTTCAAGAACTGGTGAATAGTACTTTAACTTGGTTATAAATAAGATATTATAGTTTCCAGATTAGTGAATTCCGGGAGGTGGGGGGAATCCTTGGTAATTTCATGGGCACATCCATGTAGATAAAATTTTTTTTAGTAACAAACATTATTTGCCATTGTGCTTTCCAATCTTGGTTTCATGGAGATCTTCTATAAAAATACAAGCCGGATCTAGTTGTGGCTAATGTTTAATGAGCCAGCTAGGTGCTGCCATTTAGATGAGATGTTTACTTTGCTGAGTTACAGGTTCCACTTCTCTTTAAATAATGTTTCAGGATGGGATTCAGGCAGAATGGGAGAGTAAAGAAAGAAATAGGAAAGTGAAATTCATGAGATTTATAAATAGAATGTTCTGACACTATGTCCTACTATTTTCTGGTAATGGTATTTTTTTCAAATGTATAAAGTATAATATTAAAATAAGCAGCTCCAAACTTTCAAAATCAAAATTTTCATGAATTTGTAGTTTGTAGAGGTTTCCTAAAAAAAAAATCTGTATCCTTAAATAATCCAATATTTTTCATGTAATGAAAAATATGTGTGATTTAGAACTAACTAGGGATGACCATCATTCTAAACTAAGTTGATTTTTCTTCTTAAAAGTTGATTTTCTTCTCTTTTCTTCTGCTACCAGTATTTTATTACTTATTGATAGGGATCCTCTGGTGGCAATATCTATTCAGAGAGTTGTGTTGCAGGCACTGTACCCAGCAAAGATGTGTAAATGCGCTTAAACTTTAAGTTTAGGGTCCAATGTTGGGTTTATGCAGCTATGGTACATAATATCTTAAAGAATTCAAGCACTATGAAGCATATATGTCTAAATGCTATTGCTATATTGTATTTAATTTTAGCTACTGTACAAAATATTTCCGGGGATATGAATAAAGTAGGAGAAGAATGAAAACACCATGCCATCAGCTCCGATAACAAAAGTGAGATTATCCTTAGTCCTTTTCTTCTGTCCTCATTTCTCTCTTCTTTCCCATCTATACACTCTGTCCAGGGCCTAAGAGTTATTTGACCTTCTATTCAAAAATTAACTTACTAAAAGCCAAGATAATGCGATTTAAAGATGCAAACAATGTTCTGCTTAGTAAAAACAATATTATTATTTACTGTGACATAAAAACTGCCTTACATTATTTACTGACATATGTAGAAGCGGGTCATTTTGGCTCTTAAAAAATTATGGACATTTTAAAGCAGTTTTGGAAGCTAAGAAGGGTTCAGTGTGGTGCATACTTGGAAGAAAGATCAATGGGGAAATTGAAAAAGCATCCTGTAAAAAGATAATGGCAACCCACTCCCATGTTTTGCCAAGACAACCTTTAGGATGTACTCAAATTGCCCTAAAAGTGGAGCCTGAGTAATATTGTACCTTAGCTTTAAAGCAGCTGAAGTCTTGAAGGGATTGTTCTGGGTGAACTATTCTAAACAGGCAACATAATTTTGTGCCTCGATATACAGATAGATCAGTGTAATTTACTTTATCATTTCCCATTGTGTTTTATCTTTACAGATAAAGGCAACCAGCCAGGCAGGATTTTGTGGTTTCTGTTCAAGTTCCATGGATGGCGAGGCGTTCTGTGATCCGTTCATCCCTGCTGTCCCCTCCCAGTTACTATGAAGCAGTACATGATGGACGTGGACCTACAAGTCCTGAGTATCCTTTCTTTAGTGGCTGGTACCACTATATGGGTCAGGAACCTCTTTCATACAAGCGACGTGGCGGCATTGTGGATCAACGTGATGTCATCATGGCCCATCAGGCCCACAAAATCCAAAACACACCACAGGCAAAGCGGAAGGAGTGGGAGTAAGTATGGATATATTTCATTATTTCATTTCCATCTGTCACTGGGCTTTTCCATTATAGGTCAAAGCCATACAGCAGGAATTTTATTATCTCCTTCCCTCTGTCCCTAAACAATTTACAGCTTGAGGTTAAACAAACATGTATGTGACTGGGGGGCATATTTGAAATTTTGAGAGCATAAAACTGCTTCTATAAATGGGCTGCCATGTTCCACATGGGCAATAATCAAATATCCAATTATTCTGGATTGGAAAGGAAAATGAAAAGATTATTCTGCATCAACCTCTCTGCCTCTGAAGATGCTCTTTACAAAGTGAGGTGGTTTTTTTTTTTTTTTTAAGCAGTCACTAATCATATTTATTTTCAAGAAAGGTCTATGGCGTCTATATGGACTTAGGCATTTTTATAAAAAAGGCAAGCTGTTCTTTAAAAAACTAATGAAACCTTTGAATGAAATTGAATCAGTTGGGTGGGGAATCTATGAGTCGGCAAAAAAAGGGGTATGCAGAAGTAAATGCAAATGCCCCACTGACCACTCTTCTTCAGGCATTTTATTTCTCTCTCCAAAGTTATAACCTCCCATTCAGTTTAATTGTCTTGACATCCTTTATATCCCTCCACCGTTTCATCTTTCTTTAGTTGAATTACAAGCACTGTAGTATGATTCCCTATCAACACTACAGGTGATGAAATCTCTAACTGTCTTTTAATATATTGCCCAAAGAACCTGTATTGAGAGGACTGTTTATTGTTAATATATTCACTGTGTCTCATAGTTTTTGCAATGTTGTGTTTATATAGTTTTGATCTTTGACAGCAATTATAAAGAAACAAGAAACTTCTGTCAACTGAAATAGATGCGCAACAGTAATTGGAGTGTTCTTTTTTGTCTAACTGACCTTATCCTGAAAAATGAACAAACTGCTCTGTCTTCTGTGTGTTGTGGGTATTACATGGTGCTATGTTGAGGAAAATCATCTTATAGTTTTAAAGGAAAAAATCAAGCTGCAACTTCACTATATTATATAGTTTCTGTACTCTCATGAGCTGCTAGCAAAAAGTGTTATCATATACTTTCAGTTCTATTCATTTCAACTGTGTTGACCCACAAGAAAGCAGGAATAAGTGTCACTGAAATTGTGTATGTTTTCCTGCAATACATCAAATCTATTTCTACTAGTTCAAATACATATTTATTCTCTTACTTATAACTCAAGTTTAAATAGTTCATGGTTCTCGGGGTTTCTGAAGAAGCGTTTCAATAATTAACAAGGTAATAGGAAATTCTGCTGTACCAATTGCCAAAATAAATCAGTTTATAATAGGCCCCAAGAATGAGGCTTTCCATCTGTGTTCATTCACAGATTAGAGAAAACCATAAGAACGTAAGAGAGATATACACAAAAGAATGTGGCAAAAGACAGACAATTGATGTAATATGTTCTTCAAAGAAAGAAATAAGTTTATCTCTTTGGATTAGAAAAACTGAACAGAAATACAAAAAACATTTAATATACACTTGAACATAACTTTCGGATTGGAAGTAAGTGATTTGTGTATAGGGCGTTTTGCAGGACAATGTTGGTCCACATTTTATTCTAACAAATGTAATCAAGATTACAAATTTATTCTGTTTTAGGTTGTTCTTGCATACCAGTTCAGCACAGACTGCTATTCTCCCAAGGAGCCTGAATATTTAGAAAGGTCACAGCTATAAGTTTGTTTTACAGGTCAACTGTTTATTTAATATATAATATTTTAGGTTATTTTTTAACCTTTTTATTTTATTTTATGTTTACTTACCAAACATAAAAATACAATAAACCCATCTGATAAATACATGTAGAACAATGCATTAAACTATAGAGAAACTCCTATTTGTGGGGGAGGGAAGGGACAGAAACATACTTCTTTATTTATAGTGATATTTAATATACACCTTGGCCTTAGCTTAAGGTGACCAGATTTTCAGATTGGTAAAGAGGGACACCTTTGACCGGGGGGGGGGGCTTGATTAAAAAATTTATACAGAGCAACAAAAATTTTCATACAGCGCAAAAATAGTATTGTAATATTTTTTTTATTTCAACATAACTACAATTTACAAATATAAATTGTAACTGTTGGCAAACATCAACATTTTGATCACGTGACCATGAGAATGCTGCAATGGTCGCTAAGTGTGAAAATGGTCGCTAAGTGTGAAAAATGGTCATCAGTCACTTTTCTTCAATGCCATTGTAACTTTGGTCACTAAACAGCCATGTTCCTGACTTAACAACCACCATGATTCACTTAACGTGGCAATAAAAGGTCACAAAATGAGGCAAAAATCATTTAACAAACGTCTCCCTTAGCAACAGAAATTGGGGGATCAATCCTGGTCGTAAGTCGAGGATTACCGGTAGCCAATTGCAAAAGGCAACTTTACTTGGAACAGGTGAGATTGTGCCCGGATCCCTTTCATGCCAA